TCTCTCTCTCTCTCTCTCTCTCTCTCTCTCTCTCTCTCTCTCTCTCTCTCTCTCTCTCTCTCTCTCCCGCGCTTATGCTATGACTCTGGGTGCCGTTGACTACGGCTATCTCTCACCCTCATCCATCGATTGTGCGCACAATTCCAGCGCTTCTGTGACAGGCATGAATGCCAATTGTGTTGACGTTTGGATAGCTCTGACTTATGTACTCTCTCCAGTTCCCAAACCTGGGCGTTCTGGTGCCGGTACCCTTTTTCCTTGTGGTCAGGGTCGGCATCCGACACTTCCGGAGTTTTCACAGACTCTCATGGGACTGAGCTGCAACAGACCAACCAACTGACAGGACCCTCTTGTTTCTAACGACCTGTTCGGACCCGCTAGCCGACCTACTTGTTGTACCGGCCTAACCTAAGAATTCTACCAGTCTACAGGTACAGTCCTACCGGTTGGGATTATAGTACACGGGAAATTGGGACTTGGAACCGGGGCCACGTTCTGAGACGCATGAAATCCTTTTTTTCTTAAATTTGGACCATTCCTCGATTTATGTGTGTCATCCTTACTTGCGCAGGGGTCATGCTAATCTTCTCCTTCTCTGTATCGTTCCAATTCTTTTAATGGATGTCCTGAAGGACAGACGCATGAAATCCTTGCACTAACTGTATCTGTCATTTTCTGCATTATTCACTGTGGACCACGCTCTGCTAAATCCTTCCACGAACTGTCGGTCATTCTTGGCATCATTCAGTTTCTGGCCTAGCTCAGTTGGTACACCCATGAACTGTTGAAAACTTGAAATACAGACCTGAGTTCGAATCCCGATGCAACCCGATGAATAAAAAAAATCAACTCAGTCTCATTCTGAATAACCTGGGTTCGTTCACTGTCTGGCCTACCGTCTTCACCCGAATAGAACGCCCAATAATTATCGCCGTATCTGGGCTGAAAGTTGTGCCAAATACCGCTATAATGACCGGGTGTTCTATTCAGGTGAAGACGGTACCTCAGTTGGTACATCCATGAACTGTTGAAAATTCAAATGCAGTGCGATGAGTTTGAATACAGATGCAACCAGATGAATACCAATCCACTCGTTCTGAAGAATCTGGGGCCGTTACGTTAGACAATGATATCTCAAGCCCGACGCTCTTTTCANTACAGATGCAACCAGATGAATACCAATCCACTCGTTCTGAAGAATCTGGGGCCGTTACGTTAGACAATGATATCTCAAGCCCGACGCTCTTTTCAGAAGGACGAGATATCGCCCGTGCTGAGGTGGCACCTTGACAGGTGAAGAGTAGCATCAAGTGCCAATGACAGAATGTACCGATACATCAGTCACGAAACAAGCAGGAAATAGAGCACCCCTCACCCACACCCCCCCAACCCAAAAAAAAAAAACGGGTGCAGGAGTACAGAGGGCCAATCGGGAGAGAGACAGGGAGGGAGGTTGAGCACGGTAAAGATCAAAACAAAATTAAGGCGGCCTTCCCAAGGATGCAGCACCACTACAGAGATCATCAGTAACGTTTTGGCGAATACAAATGTGCCTTCCTTCGAGCCCCATCCCCTCCCACCAGTTTGAAAGGGGGCAAAAAAACTTTTGAAAGGGGAAAAAAAAACTTGAAAGATAGACAAATGTATGATAGGAGGAATTGGCTTTCTCGGCCTTTTGGCTAAGATCAAGTGTAGTATCTGTTCTGATCAGTTTAATATCTGATCCGTGGTCCATCGGACCATTTCAAAAAAAAAAAATGATAGGAGGAATTGGGATCTAGGGAAGGCTTGGAGCGGCCGAAAACAGTTGTTGATGAGATAAGCGGCCCCAGGGACTGCTCTGAAACGACCCCCGTGCACCCCGTGCTCCGCAATGGACCACCCTATTGCGTGTATGGGTGCTGCCAGTAAGCCTCCCGGCCAATTGGGTGATCCACCGCGGAGGGACAAAGGCTTGGGGTCGGAAGTACATACAGAAGCAGCCCCCCCTCGTTTAGGCGGCTAATGCCACAAGGGTTGGGCTGACCACCTTTTTCTCGTCTTTTTTTCTATTGTCTTTGTAAAAACATTCTTGCCGGGGACAAGTAACCGAACTGGTGCCCCCCAGAATAGCAGGGGCTTGTGTGTTTGGGAAAAAAAAAAAAGAAGAAAAAGGGGCTTGTGTGTTTGAACTTTGAAAGGAAAAAAAAAAGAAAGATCCAAAACAGGTAACAGGATGCTAAGCAGCCTGAGGAACTGTTAGGAGCCCCCCCCCCCCCCCCCCCCCCCCCCCCCCCCCCCCCCCCCCAGCACCCCGCCTATCCGACGGTCGCCCTACTTAGTGACTGGGTGCTGCCAGTAAGCTTCCCAGTCAGCAGGGCAACCCCTTGAAAGGCTAACCATAGGGGGGAGGGTTGCCCCAACACAGTCCCCCCCTTGCCAGGCGTCTACGGCCACAAGGGACGGCTGGTCATCTGTCTTGTCTGCTCTCCCCCCCTCCTCTTTGCAGCTGTAAAACATATTTGCCGGTGATGAGCAACCGAACTGAGCCCCCCAGAATACAAGGGGCATTTTGTTAAAAAAAAAAAGAAAAAAAAAGGAAAAGTGTTCCTACCTGTTCGAGTCCCTCCTTTAAGTTTTCATTCTCCTTGTCCAGCTTCAAACCCTTTTCATAGACTTCAATTGCCTGTCAAATTTTTGTACCCAGAAAAACAACATGGACATGTACATGTACATGATCAAACCCTTTTCGTAGACTTCGACGCAAGTAGAATCGCAGATATCGGGACAAAAAAAAAAAGAAAAGAAAATCAGAGTCGCACTATGGACATGCACATGACCAAAACTGAGTAAGCTCACACACACACACACAAAGAGAGAGAGAGAGAGAGAGAGAGAGAGAGAGAGAGAGAGAGAGAGAGAGAGAGAGAGAGAGAGAGAGAGA